TAGATTCAGGTAAAAATATTTGAAATACTCCAAGATTCCTAAGTGTTCTCTGCACATATCTGGAGACCACCTGATGAATCCTTGTATGTCTATGTAAGTTAAATCTGTGAATGGAGGTATGGGAGTACTGAAGAACTGATATTTCATGTCATATTGAATGAGTCTGTTTTTTTATTCAGCAAGATTCACCCAGATATTCAAAAAGAAGGATGAGCCAAAAATTTTGGATTTTGTAGAAAAAGCAAAGGTAATAATGGTCTATCTAGCTTTCAAACATAGCTATGTACCTTAACCTAATTTAGCTACCTAACTATCTTATCCTTATTTAATGCTATGTAATGCTGGATGGTTGTATGGCTGGGCACTTTCTCCAACTGAAATAATCCTCTCTTGTGAATAAAGTAAGGCAGAATCTTAACCACATGTGAGGAAAGAGAATGAAGTCCAAGGACAGCATTGTATTACAATTTAGTAGATATTTGTCAAAGACAACATTCTCTCCTTTCCTTCATAAACAGGTCCAACCTCTATCTTTGTGCAATAGCAGGTGCCATTCAGGTTCCAGTAGGCGCAAGATAGAAGGGAGGCCATTTTGTTGCTATGATTGCCTTAGATGTCCACATGGGAAGATTTCCAAACAAGAAGGTGAGTTCTGGTATATGTTATCCTAAAAAACATACTTAAATATAATTATAAGTCACAACAACAATAAAAGGTTTACTAAATAAAAGACTTAGGAGGTGAGGGCTTGGCAGCACAAGCAAACAACAGCCAACAATTTAATAGCCACCAATACCTAGATCAACATCTAAAAATCAACATATAACAGGCACCATATAAATACCACACATCAAACAGCCCAAAACACACACTCTGCTAGAGAGAAGGTCCCTTAAGATGGGCTCCAACATGAGTCCAAAAGCTCAGAAGACAAAATATCTGGACTGACCCAGATTGGATCTTGCAATAAAAGATTTAGATTAATGGCCTAGATTAATGCTTCCACTTGACAGATGGATAGGAAATTGACTAGCATTCAGTTTATGGAATGGTTTCAATAGTGATATCAAGTAATGAATCTTAGAGCAAAGGAATGTTCAATTAATGTCTATCCATGTATTTGATTTTTACATGTTATACATCAGCTCCTTTTTTCAAAGAAAGAATATAGCACTCAGTTTTCAACGGAATTAGTAAATTGTTAATTTAGATAAGATAAGATAACCTTTATTGTCATTTTTTTTACTGTGGGCACAACGGCACACATCAAAAATGAAATTTAGTTGCCCACTCTCAAAGTGAAACACATACATTTATTTTCTAGATATGGATGATTGTTCTCAATGTCCAGAAGATCAATATGCAAATGCGAACCAGGATTTTTGTCTAGTAAAGATTGCAACATTTTTGATGTATAAAGAAACTTTGGGGATCATTTTGGCCAGTTCTGCTCTTTTCTGTTCTTTGGTCACAGTTGGAGTCCTTTGGATCTTTATTAAGCATCAGGACACTCCCATTGTCAAAGCCAACAACCGGAATCTCACCTATGCTCTCCTTATTGCTCTCCTCTTGTCTTTTCTTTCTTGTTTATTATTCCTTGGAAAACCTGGCAAGATGACATGTCTCCTTCGTCAAACTGCCTTTGGTATTATCTTCTCTGTGGCCATTTCCTGTGTGTTGGCAAAGACCATCATTGTAGTTCTGGCTTTCATGGCCACTAAGCCTGGTTCTAAGATAACCAAATGGGTGGGGAGAAGATTGGCCATGTCCATTGTGTTGGGCTGCAGCTTAATTCAAGGAATTATTTGCACTATTTGGCTGACAACCTCTCCCCCATTCCCAGATGCTGACACAAATTTAGGGGTGGAAGAAATCTTTCTGCAGTGTAATGAAGGTTCAGTCTTCATGTTCTACTGTGTCTTGGGCTATATGGGTTTCCTTGCCATTATTAGCTTTACGGTGGCTTTTCTAGCGAGAAAATTGCCTGATACTTTCAATGAAGCCAAGTTTATCACCTTCAGTATGTTGGTCTTCTGTAGTGTTTGGTTGTCCTTTGTTCCAGCATACCTGAGCACCAAAGGAAAATATATGATTGCGGTAGAGATCTTCTCCATTATTGCTTCTAGTGTTGGGTTACTGAGTTGTATTTTTTTCTCTAAATGCTACATCATTCTTTTGAAGCCTGCTCTAAACAACAGAGAACAGCTAAAAAGACAAAGCCAAAGAAAAACATAAAATTATTTGTCTTATTATTTCCAATTGTCTGTAGGAAAAGAGAATAATTTAATATTCTGATCCAATATCACTAACCTAGAATTATACTCTTTCAAATCATCAGGTGTAATTCAGAATTTATAAGAAAAATAAACTATTGTCATATACATACTGTGTATTTCATTTCTGTTGATCAGTATTTTTTTTAAAAAAAATGATTTCAATCTATGGTATTATTCCATGGTCAAAAGTGAAACCAAGTCTGAAGTTCCCTTCAAAAAGCAACAATATTACAAAGTTGAACTTCCCACCCCAGTGCTATGCAATTAGCTATGTTGCCGAATAGAAGAGTTTGGTGGGCTTTCTAACTAAATGCCCCAGCCCCTATCTAACTTACAGAAATGACCTTGGTTCCCATGGGATAGCAAAATGTTTAGACTAGTAGAAATCCTCTATCCCTCTCCCAATCCTGTGGCAACTTAGAATGAAGAAATGGTGGCAGCCAGGTTCATTGTAAAGTTGACACCCAGATTCCAAGACTCCAAAGAATCTCAACTCATGGTGTAAGACATCACCTGACTCACCTCACATGCCATTTTGCCCCATTGACACTCGGAATGGAAAGACTAGAATTGCAGAGAAGCTCACTTAAAGTGTGAACTCTGTGACTTTTTCCTCTAAAAGTCTGGGTAGCACAAGTACACAGATCTCGACTTGGTAGAATCTGTGCTGACACATGTCCTCAAATTCACTAGACATATTTCTACTTCCTTCATTTCCTTCTCCTTCCTTCCTTTCTCAGGAAGGATGGTTGAAATTGTGACTGCAGTGTATGAGGAGTACACATCTTTAAGGAATAGTGTAAGATTTTTCTAATCTCATTAATTTATAGAGGATACACAAAGAAAAGAAAGTTCAAAAGAAATCAGCAATACTTGCAGTACCATATATTGGAGGAGGAGGAGGAGGGGAGGGGGAGGGGGAGGAGGAGGAGGAGGGGAGGAAGTTGCTTATTTTCATGGGAACAAGACTCTCAAGAAATTGCATGAAAAAATGTCTAAATGAACTACCAACTCTTGTGTAGCCAACAATGATAGCTTGGGATTCTATGTTTGTGCACTACAAAAGTCTTGCATCTATTCAGCAATAATCTGATACATCAATGGTTCTCAAAATTTTGGATTCACACTTTGATTGAGAATTTTTGCCCCCAAACAGAATGTGCTTAAGGGGGGAGGCATTCTTGTTTTCAAATCTGTTTCACAATTTTCTACATCTTTTGTCACTCTTTCCATTTAATTCTAGGCATTCACAGAGAATCATTCTCAGAAGGGGCTAAAGCAATTCAAAAATGTTTTTTGTTTGTTTGTTAAAAGTAGCCCTTTAACTTCACTTTGGCACCTGATAAGACACTTCTGTGAATTAATTCCATTTATTTAAGCATTTAGGGGACCTAAAGACTCTTCTTGTCCTTCTACAAATGAAGGAAAGGTTTGGGAAGTTATCATTAGAATTAGGATTCTCTAATACTCTCAGTCATTACAAACATCTGTATCTCTTGTCACCACTCTGCAGAATTCTAAAAATGATCTCTACTGACATAGTAAAAACATGTTTTCTTGTTCAAGATTTCCCAGGACTTTGCTTCTGAAAATTGGGAATTTTTCTACTGCAATTAACAATCCCTATGTAGTTATTTCAACTTCAGCTCTAAATCCGTGGAGGAGGAGGGGAGGGGAGTTATTAACTCAAGTTGAATTATACTTAATGAAAGAGAATGTTGATTCAGAGAAATTGAGTAAAGAAAATATGCTGTTGTCAGAGATAGTGATATTTGCAGTGTTGGTTATTATGCCTTTACCGCAAATGGTGTGCAGAATTGGCAGGGCTAAATGCAGCATCAGTGACCCTCTGCCATTTCTTTACAAGCATTATCAGTCAGGCGACTTCATTGTTGTGAACATGCTCTCTCAGATCTATGTCTTCCATACAATGATGGACTTCAGCAAGCGTCCCTCTAAGGAGCTCTTTGAGGACACTGTGTAAGAATTTATATATGGAAAGCAAGTTAACTCAAATTAGGAAGTCTTTTCATATTCATATTAGCCTCAATTCCAGTGATTGGCAGCATCTTTTCTTTGCTGGATAGCACTATCTTCATCCTCCCACTCTTCTTCTTTTTCCATTATTATCTTACTCTCCTTTTCCTTTTCATGAGCCCCAGCCATTATCCATGATTGCTATGTGATGATTGCATCCTGCAGGGAAAAAAACAATCTTTCTTTTATTTTTCAAATTTTCCCACAATTATTTGAAAATAATGAAGCATGTTCTATTAATATTTTCATTATCTTGGTAGGTCCTCATTACTAGCTATCCAGGACCATATGTTGCCTGTGCAAGTTGCAAGTTGGAAGTGCTTGATTTAGAGCTTCTCCAACAGTTTGCATATTCCCTTTTATGCATCACTGAGTTTCTTTATTATATTTCTGAAAGTCTTCATCTTAACCCTCTCTGACATAATGAAAGAAGTTATGATCCACTTTGGGGTTATAGTAATATCCTAGAGTGCTATTGTTGATCCGTTTTTTAGAACACCCAAGTTATTTCAAGAGGAATCTGAATGGCCCAAAATTAGGTATTATTAATATAGTCAGCTAAGCCATCTTCTGTTTCTCTGTTTGCTGTAGAGCCATCAATACTAGCTCAGCCTCTGAAATTACTGCAGTGGTGTAATGGAGGTTTTGGAGGTTTTAAAGAAAATGGAGTGACTCTACTCCTCCAAAAATCATCAGTATCCTTTTGAAAAATCAACAACAAGTGACATTATTTTATGAAATTATTATTCAGAAGGATGACTATTGGAAGATTGTCATCAAAATCAAAATGATTGCGATGCTTTTTCTATCAAATTCACTTGTGAAAAAGTATGTTATGTGCTTCCTTTTCAACTAAGCACCTGGTGACAAAATATGTATTTCCCTTTCCAGAGTTATGACTCCAATATACCAGCACATCTTGGCCTTAGAATTTGCCATCAAGGAGATCAACAGAAATCTTCATCTTTTACCTAATCACACCCTCGGTTTTCAGATTTATAATACCTACTTCATGACAAGTTGGACCTATCGGGCCTCACTGGAGCTTTTCTCTACAAAGGGCCAGTTCATCCCTAACTACAACTGTGATACACAGCACAGACCAATAGCAATCCTTGGAGGACCTACCACTGAGGTGTGCCTACACATGGCTACCATCCTATCCCTCTATAAGATGCCACAGGTATGAGCTTTGATGGATCCCAGACCAAATAGATAGCCATCAATGCCTTTCTATCCTTTTTTTAATTTTTTCCTTTTTCTCTTTACAAAAAACAAAATACAAAATACACATTTTTTTCCTTAACAGTACTGTGTCCTATATCTCTTACATATATTTACAATTATTTACATTACTTCTCAACCTTTTTTATTCCTCAGTTCTAACCAATTGTAACATTTGTTCCATATCTCATAAAATTCTATTGCTTCCTTGTCTTTTATTTCTAAAGTAAGTTTATACATCTGTGATCATTTATGGCAGTGATTCTCAACCTTTTTTTCACCATGGACCCCCTTTAAATACCTTTTGTGGGCATGGCCACGGACCACTAAGACCTAAGATTTAAATCATAATATTTCTTCAAGCTTTTATGGACCCCCTGTGATGACATCACGTACACCAAGGGGTCCATGGACCACAGGTAGAGAACCACTGGCTTATGGCATAGGAAGGAAGGGATTCTTCCTCAAATAAAAGGATTATTATTATTATTATTAAAACTAATGACTTCTAATGACTACAAGGAAATCGTGCTGTAGCGTACTAATGTCATCAGGCTTGTGGCTATTACTCTTCTGATCTTTTGTTCTTTAAATATTTCATTATCAGTGTGTGTGCTATGGTTTCCCAAAGATTCATTTTCCACTAAAGCAATGTTTAAGACAAACAGTGATTAAAACTATAAAGAATTTTCAGAAGCATTTTCAGAAGCATTTCCATTAAAGCTATATTTAAGAGAAAATATGATAAAAATATTCAATATTGTCAGAACTGAAAAAAGAGAAAAAGAGTTTTAAGAGGTAATGTATCAATTTACAAATGCAAGCTATTAGAAAATTTTGGTGTAAGAATGTGTCTTTGATCAAGTTTGCTGACACAGCTCAACAGTTTAACAATCTCCATGTAGAATGATTTAAATTTATATGGGAAATACAATTTGAGTCAAAATATGAGATATCTTTTGAGCATAAATATCTATATTGCAGCTTAAGCGGATAAATAGTATCACTACACACTACTGTTTTTGAAAGAAAAAGTATCCGGTTATCTATTTCCCAGTATTTTTCTTTTTCTGAAGATAATGTATGGTTCCACCATCGAAACTGGTATGAAAAAAGAGGCTGTTTTATATCAACAAATGTTCCCAAGTATGGACCATCAGTATAAGGGAATTTTTCTATTACTGCTCCATTTCAGATGGACATGGATTGGGATCTTGTCTCTGAAAAATGACAGTGGTGAGAAGTTTATACAAGATCTGGTTCCCATGCTAGCCCAGAAGGGGATCTGCTCAGACTTCATTGAAACATTTCCAATCATTGATGACTCAAGTAGCATTGCTGAGTTGGTGGAAATGGGACTTGAAATGTACATGGTGGTTATGAAAAGCACAGTTAATATAGTACTGGTTCATGGTGAAATTTATGGAATTATAGTTCTGAGACTTCTTTCCACTAATTTGAAATCTGAAGATGTATCATTATGGAGAAAGAGTAAAATCTGGGTGATGACCGCTGAGATGGATTTCACCTCACTTCCCTTTCTAAGGAATAGTGACCTAGTCTTCCTCCATGGTGCTCTGTCTTTTGCAATTCACACAGAGAAGGTGTCAGGATTCCAGAAATTTGTTCAGATGAAGGACCCTATCTTGGAAAAAGAAGATACTTTTATCAAGCTCTTCTGGGAAAGTGCCTTTGAATGTTCCTTCTCCATCTCTGAAGTGGAGGAAGAAAATGTGATTCCCTGCACTGGAAAGGAGAAACTGTTAGCTCTTCCTACATCTGTGTTTGAAATGGACATGACTGGGCATAGCTACAGCATCTACGATGCCATCCATGTTGTGGCATATGCTTTGCATGACTTCCATTCATCAATGCTGCAATACAGAGCTAGAGGGCACGAGGCCAAATTGGAACTTCTGGATCAAAAGTTGTGGAAGGTAAAACCTTAAGCAAATCAATTACTGGCTATTCACTGTATCTGCCACCCTGATCCTAAACTTAAATGAAATTCATTCTTCTAAAGAGAATATATTTAAGAATGTCATTTTACTCAATGCCATCTTCTCTCTAGCTCTATTCCAAATAATGTCATCATAAATTATTATATCTGCATATGTATTAGGACAGTAGCATACAATTTTTTTATTTCATGTTAACGGTGTTCTTTATTTGGTCTTACAATTCTCGATTTTCCATGCTTTCCTGAATTTCCACGTTTCAAGAATTACTAAGTATAGAGATTATATTCACCAGACTCACCAGAAGCAGTCTCTATCTTAAAAAGGGGGAATGGATCTTATCAACTTGGGCTTCTATCCATCCATCCATCCATCCATCCATCCATCCATATCTATCTATCTGTCTGTCTGTCTGTCTGTCTGTCTGTCTGTCTGTCTGTCTGTCTGTCTGTCTGTCTGTCTGTCTGTCTGTCTGTCTGTCTGTCTATCTATCTGTCTAACCTTGTCTTGGCTTCTTCTCCAATGTAGCTCAACAAATTTATGAAGGGGGTCTCATTCAATAATAGTGCTGAACAAAAGGTTTCTTTCAACCAAAATGGAGAATTGGAAACTGGATTTGATATTATGAATTGGATCACATTTTCCAATCTATCTTTTTTGAGAGTCACAGTTGGAAGGATGGACCCCAAGGACTCCCAAGAGTCATTGTTCACCATTAATGAGGATGATATTGTATGGCCAGAGAGGTTTAACCAGGTATGGCCAGTTTCATTTTGGCTTTTAGACAAATGTCTTTCTGTCAGTCCTCAAATTGTCTTAGATTCAAAATCCTACACAAAAATTAGAATATTTCAAGTATTCCAAGATTTCTAAATTTTCTCCAGACAAATCTCTGGACCACCTAGTGAACCCTTGGTTGTCTCCTAAATTAGATGTGTGACTAGATGACTGAGGTATTTAAGAGCTGATGTTTCTTATCATATTTACATAAAAGTGTATGTTTTCCCATTTATACCAAGAGCTGCAAAAGAAAGAATGTGCCAAGGTTGTAGCACACAGTTTGGATTTTGTAGAAAAATACAGAAGATGCCTACATACTGACCTTATAATCATTATTTAATGTTAGGTAGTGCTGAATGGTTACATGGCTGAACACTTTCTCCAATAGAAATAAACCTGATGTGAATAAACTAAAACAGAAACTAACCACTTATAAAGGCACAGAAACAAAGCATTATGGAAATCCAGTACTGTATTACCATTAAAAAAATTGTCAAAGCAAAGTATTTTCTTCTTTCCTTCTTGAACAGGTCCAACCTTTATCTTTGTGCAATAGCAAGTGCCATTCAGGTTATACTAGAAGCAAGATAGAAGGGAAGCCATTTTGTTGCTATGATTGTCTCCGATGTCCACATGGGAAGATTTCCAACCAAATAGGTGAGTTCTTGCATTTGGTATCCTAGAAAATATACAGTACCTAAATAAAACTGTGGATCAAAAGAGCAATAAAAAGTTTAGACTAATATTCTGGATTAATGGTTCCACCTGACAAATTGATGGAGTACAACATGGAAAATGACCAGCAGTCAATTTATGGAATGGATTTCTGACAGTGATATCAAGTAGTGTGTTTTGGAGCAAAGAGGTTTTCCAATATAACTTTATTGAAAATCCACCAGTGTAATGGTATTTAAAACATTAGAAAACTTGTGGGGGTTTTTTGTCAACATGTATGGCTTAGTTTTGATTCTTTCCATGCAATTTGTAAGTTGCTAATTTATTTTCTAGATATGGATGATTGTTTTCCATGTCCAAAAGCTCAGTATGCAAATGTGAACCAGGATTTGTGCCTTTCAAAGATTGCAACATTTTTAATGTACGAAGAAATTCTGGGGAGCATTTTGGCCAGTTCTGCTGTTTTTTTTTCTTTGGTCACATCTGGAATTCTTTGGATCTTTATTAAGCATCAGGATACTCCCATAGTCAAAGCCAACAACCGGAATCTCACCTATGCTCTCCTTATTGCTCTCCTCTTGTCTTTTCTTTCTAGTTTATTATTCCTTGGAAAACCTGATAAGGTGACATGTCTCCTTCGCCAAACTACTTTTGGTATCATCTTCTCTGTGGCCATTTCTTGTGTATTGGCCAAAACTGTCATTGTGATTTTGGCATTCATGGCCACTAAGCCTGGGTCTAAGATGACCAGATGGGTGGGGAGAAGAGTAGCAGTGTCTATCCTTTTGTGCTGCACCTTGCTTCAAGGATTTATTTGCACTATATGGCTGACAATCTCTCCCCCATTCCCAGATGCTGACACAAGTTCAGGGTCAGAAGAAATCTTTCTGGAGTGTAATGAAGGATCAGTCTACATGTTCTACTGTGTCTTGGGCTACATGGGTTTCCTTGCCATTATTAGTTTTACAGTGGCATTCCTGGCAAGGAAATTGCCTGATGCTTTCAATGAAGCCAAGTTTATTACCTTTAGTATGTTGGTCTTCTGCAGTGTCTGGTTATCCTTTGTTCCAACATACCTGAGCACCAAAGGAAAATACATGGTTGCTGTGGAGATCTTCTCCATTATAGCTTCCAGTGTTGGATTATTAGTTTGCATTTTTTTCCCTAAGTGCTACATCATTGTCCTGAAGCCTTCTCTCAACAACAAAGAACAGCTAAGAAGACAAACCCACATAAAAACATAAATTATATGTCTCATTATTTTAAATTGTTTGTAGAAAAACAGAATAATTTAATGTTCGGATCCAATACCACTTATCTAGAATAATTGTTTCAGATCTTCAGATTTAATTCTCACTTGATAGGTAAAATAAAATATTTCCATTTACACACCATCTATTTTATTTGTCTTGACTAGTTATTTAAAAAAAATTGGAATTTATGCTGCTACGGTTACTCCTCGACTTACAATCACAATTGAGCCCAAAATTTATGTTACTAAGTAAAACATTTGTTAATTGAATTTTGCCCCATTTTACGACCTCTCTCGCCACAGTTGTTAAGTGAATCACTGCAGTTTTTAAGTTAGTAACATGGTTGTTAAGTGAATCTGTTTTTCCCATTGACTTTGCTTGTCAGAAGATTGCAGAAACTGATCACATGATCCCAGGACACTGCAACCATCATAAATATGAGTCAATTGCCAAGCATCTGAATTTTGATCATGTGGCCATGGGAATTCTGCAAAGGTTGTAAGTGTGAAAAATGGTCATAAGTCACTTATTTCAGCACCATTGTAACTACATATAACTATATATAATATAGTTAATGTTTATAAAAAACAAGTTTCCTTTATTTCTTATATATTTTATTATAACTGTGGTGCTGCCTGCAGCTTATAAGCAATGTGTTAGATATGCCTGCTATAGAGGATAGGCACAGAAAAGAAATTTACCAATACGTTATAACAGAACAGGCAGAAATGCATTCAGAGATTCCCAAGTCAGTTTGAAAATATGGAATACAGACTTCCATAAACTTTCTACATGATCAGTGGCTAGGTCCTTCCTTGAAAATTAAGACAAAATACGTATGTATTTGAATCCACTTTTAAAGGTTCTGGGGTTTTTTTTACATTTCCACCATGCATAAAATGTTCCGCCATGTTGTTTACATATGTATTTGAAGTTCCTTTATACATTCTATTTTTCAGACATCATATCATCTAAATTATTTTTCAGACTTCATATGCCAACAATACAGAGTGTGTTTAGGTGGAGGGCATTCCTGTTTTTAACTCTGTTTAACAATTCTTTAGGTCTTTTGACAAATATTCCATGTGATTGGAGGCATTCAAAGAGAATTATTCTCAAAAGGGACTGAAGGGCTTCCAAAATGGGTTTTGAAATACAAGAAGCCCTTTAGCTTTTGGCTCATGATATAAATCTCCTGTGTATTAATATTAAGCTCTATTTATGTTAACACTAGAGAGACATAAATAATAGAATAATAGAATAACAGAGTTGGAAGGGATCTTGGAGGTCTTCTAGTCCAAACCCTTGCTTAGGCAGGAGACCCTATACTATTTCAGACAAATGGTTGTCCAGTCTCTTCTTAAAATCTTCCAGTGTTGGAGCATTCACAACTTCTAGAGAAAAGTTGTTCCACTGATTAATTATTCTAATTGTCAGGAAATTTCTTCTTAGTTCTAGGTTGCTTCTCTTCTTGATTAGCTTCCATCCATTGCTTCTTGTCCTGCCCTCAGAACAAGACTCTCTTCCTGTCCTTCTACAAATTTTAAACTAATTAGACCAATCATTAATATTTGTTTTTAATTATGTTTTTAATCTGTAGTTTCTTGGGATTAGTATTTTTATCTGGTTGTTAGCCGCCCTGAGTCCGCAAGGAGAAGGGCGGGATATAAATTAAATTAATAAATAAATAAATAAATAAATAAATAAATGCAGGAAAAGTTGATGAAGTTATCATTAGAGTTAGGATTCTTCTCTTACTCTCAGTAACTGCAAACATCTATGTCTCTTGTCACCACACTGCAGAATTCTAAAAGAGATCTCCATTGAGACATCAAAACATGCTTTCTTGTTCAAAGTTTCCCCAGATTTTGCTTCTGACATTGTTTATTTTTCTACTGCAATTATCAATCCCTATATAATTATTTCAAATTCCGCTCTACATCCCGGAGGATGGGGGAGGGGTAACTGAGTCATTAGCTCCAGTAGAATTATACTTAATGAAGAAAAATGTTGGTTCACAGATGTTAGCTTACAGAAGAAAAGCTACTGTCAAAGATGGTGATATTTACAGTATTGGTTATTCTGCCTTTACCTCAAGTGGTGTGCAAGAGTCGCAGGGCTGAATGCAGGACCAGTGACCCTCTGCCTTTTCTTCACAAGCAATATCAGTCAGGAGACCTCATTGTTGTGAACATGCTCTCTCAGATCTATATCTTCCACACAATGATGGACTTCAGCAAACGTCCCTCCAAGGAGTTCTTTGAGGACACTGTGTAAGATTGTAGTCACAGAAAACATTAATTTGAACTAGGAAGTCTTTTCATATTAATATTAGCCTCAGTTCCAGTGATTGGCATGATCTTTCCTTTGCTGGATGGCACTATCTTCATCTTTAAACTCTTCCTCCTTTTTCATCACCATCTTCTCTTCCTGTTCCTTTTCATAAATCTCTTCATAATCCATAATCTTGATGTGATTATTATATCCTGCAAGGAAAAAAAAATTAATCTTCCAATTGTTTTTTCCCCAAAATTTTCCTACAATAAGGTGAAAAGAATAAAACATTCCATGCAAATAAAAATTTGTATTAGGGAAAATAAATATATAATACCACATATGGGAAATGGAAGAGGAGAAGCTAAAACAAGCTGTATGATGACAAGGCATTCCTAGAGTAAAAGGAACCTGAAGTAGAATTCCTTCCCAAGAAAAGGTTGGAATATACACAGACTTCTGAAGTTGGAAGAGGTGAATTTCCCCACTGAATGGAGAAATTCTTAGTGAATCTGAAATGTTGCAGTGGATAACTAAATATTCTTTCCTGGGAAATGGATGGATTACAATCTATTTGTTCTTGCTCGGGTGTGAATCAGATTTTTTTTTAAGGGGATATTTTAGCAAACTGCACAATTGGTTATCTTATGTTTTCCAAGAAGACTTAAAGCATCTTCAACAGTTTGTGTTGCAACATTTATGCATGCACTGATTGAGATTCTTTATACTGTAGCAATCTTTCTGAGAGACCTCATCTTAAAATAATTTACACACATGTCCCTCTCTGGATTTTTTTTATTGAACAGACAATTTTCCAGATCATAACTTACGGTAAACTTTTTACCTTTTTTTTTTTTAAAAAGTGCATTTCTTTTCAAACTTTGCCATGAGAATTATTCACTGCATTTTCATTCTAGCATTAAAAAAATTACTAATTGGTACATGTATGACATTCAATATAATAACCAATTTATTAAGTAGACTCTTAAACATTAAGATTTATTAATATTAAATTATAACTTATTTCTGACATCATGGAAGAAGTTAGCCTCCTTTTTTTGGGTCAAATTCTTCTATATTTCCAGCTTTCCATTTCCAGGTTATGTATAAAAATACTGGGTTTCCAGGTTATGTATAAAAATACTGGGATTGAATTATAATTTTGATCCTTTGTTTTTGTTGTTCGTTGCGAAGTCATGTTCAACCCATTGTGACCCCGTGGACAACGTTCCTCCAGGCCTTCCTGTCCTCTACCATCTTCTGGAGTCCATTTAAGCTCACGCCTACTGCTTCAGTGACTCCATCCAGCCACCTCATTCTCTGTCATCCCCTTCTTCTATTGCCCTCAATCTTTCCCAGCATTAGGCTCTTTGATCCTTATCACATAATAAATGCATTGTTTGAGAGAATGCCTGTTTGAAAAATGCAAGCTATTTATTATATTATTTATTTGGTGCCATCAATGTTATCTTAGAGTCCCAAATTGCTATCAACAGTAGAATGTGCTTTGGAATTTTAAAAAAATGGAGCGGCTCTACTTTTCCAGAATGCAACAGAACCCTTTTACAATAAGTGGTTTTGGGTTTTGAAATTATGATATGTAAGGATGAATACTGGAAGATTTTGAGGGCAAAAATCAATTTTATCTCCAATATTTTTCAAGGGCTATTGTGACCTCACTTGTGACATTGCTCATTAAAATCAAAATGGTTGCAATGTTATTTTATCATGCTCATTTATAGAGTATGATGAAATAATATTATCAGTGCATGGTGACAAGATATGGATTTCTCTTTCCAGGATCATGACTCCAATCTACCAGCACATCTTGGCCTTAGAATTTGCCATCACAGAGATCAATAGAAATCCCAATATTTTACCTAATCACACCCTCGGTTTTCAGATCTATAATACCTACTTCATGACAAGTTGGACATATCGGGCCTCACTGGAGCTTTTCTCTATAAAGGGCCAGTTCATCCCTAACTACAACTGTGAAACACAGCACAGACCAATAGCAGTCATTGGAGGACCTACATCTGATGTATGTGTACACATGGCTACCATCTTGTCCCTCTACAAAATGCCACAGGTATCAGCTTTGAAAGAACCCAGACCAAATAGTTAATCATCAATGCACTGTTCCATTCTTTAAATGGGAGTATTTATGGCATAAGAAGGAAGGGATTCTTCTTGAAATAAAGAGATTAATCTTAACAAAAGTTAAGGGTTTCTGAATACTACAAAGGAATTCAGATGTGGCAGACTAATATTCCCAGGCTTGTGACCATAACTCTTCTGACATTTTATCGTTTGATAGATCTAAGAATATTAAGGTATACCTCCCTAAGGATTGATTCTCGGTTAAAGTCATATTTAAGAAAAATGGCATCTAAAATATATATTCTCAGAATTATGAAGAGAGAAACAGTGTTTTACATGACAATTTACCAATCTATCAGTTCCAGTTCCCTTTAATGGTATTGATTGAAAACAAAAGAATGCAGGCTTAATTGGGGAAACATTAGTTACAATATGACAGGAATTGGGGCAATAGTGATAGAGAAATTAGATTAATTGTAATGAAATATTACATCAATATTACAGTCTGATGAACTGTAGAGAAATTCTTGTATTCTTTGTTGCAATATAAAAATGGAAAGCCAAGCAGGAAGATGTTAAAAGCATTGCTTCAGTAATACAGTATAAAATCGAAT